ACAGAACAACTCTATTCATCTTACAGCTAAATTAATACATTTTGGCCTCTTGGGGGCAGAGGAACTCCTCCACAAGATAAAAGACAAACATCTGACATATTATCATCTCATAAAGTTGTTTTGGCAAATATGTTAGCAAACATTCACCTTTTTACACATTCATGCATGAAGCAACATTACAAATGATTTGATATCAGTTAAAATAATGTTTCCTGTCAAACACTCACTCTTCTTTCAGCTCTGCTCCTTATCAACTGATAAAAATCTTGGTGTTTAGCTAGCATTTGTTGACCTTCCTTACCATCTAACAAGTATGTAACGTACAGTAGTTTTACTGGACCTTTTAAGTGCTTTTGGGTGAAAACAGCTGCATCCTGAGCTAAGAGTCGCGAACAAACCAAGAGGGTTTGAGGGGGATACTGTTCTGGGACCATACTCGCCCAGTACATGCTGGGATTGAAATTATGGATTGCAAGTTTTCAGATTGATAACCACAAGAAAACCAAATAAATCTGAAAAGTAATGCAAGTTAAAAGTTAGTCTAGTCATTTGGTGGAGGTTGGACAAAACTGATTTTCTTCTCCTAAAGCCAGTGTCATAACCCAAGTTTTGATATATATATTATAGCTTTTTAATCACATTGACAAGCAAATTATTATTATATGATCATCAAAGAACAGCAAAAACCAATGGCCAAGCATTTCAAACTGGTTTCAGATCAATTTTATAGCATATCAAATGAAAATATGGGTAACAGAAAGCAACAAAAATGTTATAACTAACTAAAATCTAACAATGGCAATGCTTTCTTGAGTTCAATGATGTGGTCATTAAAAAAAGACTCTTCAAGGGAATGTTATATGAATATTATTGCCATGCTCATAGGTCTTTCAGTCATGTTACTGGAAATTAAAATAATTCCTTACAGCTTCTCTCTTGTAGGCGATGTACTGAAGCATCTTGTTTCTCTCCAATCGTCTACATGAAAAGAAAAGTTATTAAAATGTAGAGTATGCAGACAGCCTGGCAGTGAACAGTTGTCATACTATCATATGAAACTCAACCAACTTAACTTACTTTGAATAATCGGTTGTTCTTGTGGAAGCATGCCAGCACACAGTTTCCCAAGGTCATTTGCTGCTAGCGGAGCACAGATTTTAGTGTTCAAAAGAGAGCTGGAGTACTTGTCTGGTATGATATTAACAATGGGATCTTTTTGGTCTTCACATGTCTCGTGCTCCTCCAGGCTCTTTGGGTTGTCACAAAGCTGTCGAGGGGAGAAGTCACCTTCTTCAGGACTCTCAGGAGATGCAGAGGCAGTGTCTCTCTGGTAGGGTGGAGACTGACTCATGTTTTAAAAATCGTGATATGTCAACTGAAGCAAAATCCTAAAAGGACACTCACTGAGAATATTTCACGGTTCCACTTGTATCATTTTTGTTATTGTTCAAGTGCAGTTGCCCGGCGGTAGTTTTGCATCAGGCTCATGTACATCCAAACTGTCATAGTTGGAGAAGACAGTTCTCCTGTTTCCATTACATTCACTAATGATGACTTCTAAGTTTAATGATAGAGGCTCAGGGGCTTTAAGCAAAAAATCTCCTCACTGAAATAGGCATTTTACAACTACAACACTTTGATTTTGTGTGGAACTTTTATGTCATATAAAGGCCAACTTTTTAGCGAGAGAAGGACGTAACAGAATATCCTAGATGAAATGATGTCACTCTGTGATAACAGACAATACATTTCAACACCATCCTTTCATTGAGGATGATGCATCAAGGGAAGTAATTACAGTCACTACTGACAGATCGATGACTAATGCTGACAACAATACCTTAGTCTGTGTGACCTGGTGCTACTCAATGCACAAGCGGCAGAATAAACTGGAGCCAGAGACTGCTATACCAAATTATAGATTTTATTTACAATGCATGAGAAGTAAGGAAGGGGAGAAATTGTAATTTAAATTTAAACCAAATCAGAAATCTTAAATAGCACTAAATTTACCTACGCACAGCAAGCTAAGGTGACTCAAACCACACCTGCAAGAAAAAGTAGTATTTCATGGTTCTAGACATACAATATTAATGTAATGTTTTTAAACATTTGCTTTAAATGGAGTCTACCAAATCAAACACCAAACAAAGGCTGGCCAGCGCTTCTCAGTGTGCCACTGAGCCAGGTGAGCTTCCCTCCCCCTTTTTAAAGACTCTGCCCCTTTGTATGAGCCATAGTGCTAGACTTCCTGTTACTTTCCCTTCCACATATAAAACCGAGATTTCCATCAGCTGGGTTCTAACATTTCCAGCAGGCACAGCATGTGTTAAACATACGTCCCGTTTTGCAATCGCAGAAGCTCATTTCATGCAGAGATTGTACATCTAAAGGTAAGCTGGCATAATTCAGTGTATCATATTGTATCAGTGTTGTTTATTTATTGTTTCCTTTTGATCAGTAAATTAAATTGATCTGCTTCTTCATCTGAATGTTTTACTGTAAATCTCAAGGCTAAGTTTCTGTGCTAATTATTTTCACTCTCATTTTCAGTCCAGTGCTGGCAAATACATCTCAGGGCCTTTTGAGGAAATCATCAACAATGTGGACCGTGGCTCTCGTTGTTTGTTTGGGAAATATTCTCATCAGAGGCGAGGCCAGTGATCAGCATTCAGACCCAATCGCTGTAATTGAGCTCTCTGAAACGGCCTCCTCTGGTCTTTTAATAGTGGAAAAACAGAAATCCAACAGTTCAATTCATCCACCCCAACTAGCAGGACCAAAAACATCACACCCTCCTATGTGCTTGGAGTCAGCTGGAATCAGAGATGCCTTCAAATATGTCAATACGGTTGTCTCTCTTGTTGTTTTTGTTATTGGAATAGTGGGGAATTCAGCCTTACTGAAAATCATATATGAAAACAAATGCATGAGAAGTGGACCAAACATTCTCATTGCGAGCCTTGCTATGGGGGACATCATCCACATTGTGATAGACATTCCAATCAACGCGTACAGGGTGAGTTGTTCACCTCACGCTGTGCAATTACAATGAGAACACAATGCTCCACCTCATCCTGTTCTCTTTTTATCGATTAAACTTCAATCTCACCTTGAATTGATTGTGGGTGTTTTTCTCTGACTGAAATTCCCCTTTGTTTTTGCTTCAGCTCATGGCAGAAGATTGGCCATTTGGTCTGGTACTGTGCAAACTTGTCCCCTTCATACAGAAAACCTCTGTTGGAATTACTGCGTTGAGCTTATGTGCTTTGAGTGTTGACAGGTACGCAGATAAGCGGCACTGTCCTGTGCCCTACAAGTAAATAGTGTTTGCTGGCTACTATCTGTATTTTATCAAGCAAACAGATTTGTTTAGCATTAGCCCTTGAAATGTTCTTTAACTGAAAAATGTATCATTGTTACAGACAAAAAGTCCCCCAAGCCATAACATTTTCCAATTGATTTTAGCAGATATCGAGCTGTAGTGTCCTGGAATCGAATCAAAGGCATCGGGGTTTCAGTGTGGACAGCATTCGAAATAACTCTGATATGGGTTGTTTCTATCCTGCTGGCTGTGCCTGAAGTTGTCGGCTTTGATATGATAACAATGGACTATAAAGACAAGCATCTGAGAATATGTCTGCTTCATCCCATGCAAACCACACAGTTCATGCAGGTAAGGTAATAGTCTCCAGCCAATACAACAGGATAAACAAATCAACATTTGCTATGTGTGATTTGATTGTCTTTTTACTTTTTACTCATAGCAGTAAGCAATATATAATGACTAGTATTATTTCTCAACTTCATCCAAGAGATGAACACGTTCTTGTAGCTGTCCTACCTATATGTTTGAAATATTGTTTTATGCATGCTGCATAATGTAGCAACCACTGAACATCTCGCCTTCTGCCACACCGACTGACTGTGGGCCTCTGTCATGTTTAATCAACAGTTTTATAAATCAGTAAAGGACTGGTGGCTCTTTGGCTTTTATTTTTGCATGCCACTGGCTTGGACCGCCATCTTCTACACACTCATGACCAGAAAAATGCTGAGGAACACTGAGAACACGTTAAGCGACCACACCAAGCAGGTAGTTAGTTAACACTTTTAAGCACATTTTAAGCATATTGGCGTAACATCAACTTTAATATTGACTGTATCTTTCCTTTTTAAGAGACGAGAAGTCGCAAAAACTGTCTTCTGCCTGGTGCTTGTGTTTGCGCTTTGCTGGTTGCCTCTATACCTCAGCAGAATCTTGAAATTAACCATATATGATGAGAAAGATCCTAATAGGTGTCAGCTACTGAGGTGAGCATGAAGAATTCAGTACCTTTTTTTCATTGTTCATTTCCCGGTTTGTGCTCTTTTGTCTGATTAATACCTAATGTTTATCCTCCTTTCTCAGTGTCTTTCTTGTCCTGGACTATTTTGGCATTAATATGGCATCACTCAACTCGTGCATCAACCCTATTGCATTGTACATAGTCAGCAAAAGATTTAAAAGATGTTTCAAGGTAAGATATGCTGTCATGCACTTTTTGTTTTTCCAGTTGTTTCTATGTAGGGCACTATTAAGTTTTAGACAAATCTGGTGGGGGGGTTGAAAACAATGTGATCCACATCGGATGAGCTATCATATGTGTCATCAAGGACATATGGAGTCATGTCTGTAAAACGGCCAGACTGGAGCAAGCAATGACCCGAGGGGGTGATAAGTGAAAATAGTCTGGAAAAACATTGTTAGAAAAAAAGAAAAAAAAAGAAAAGAAACAGACACTTGGCAATCTACCAGACGATTTTTCCACTGAATCAGAGTGATGTGTTATGAGGAGGAAGAAAACATAGCTTCAAGGCAATTTTTCAAGGGAAACTATTTTAAAAGCATTTATTGTATTACTAGCTCAGTAGGACATATTTAAAACATACTTGTGTTGGCTGTCATCAGAGTTTTGCTCTTCCTCTGCAATAATACAGCAAACTATTAAAACAATCACCTTTATTTTTTTATAATTTATTTATTTAATATGTCCCCTTTTTCTTTAATTAAAAGAACTGAAAACTTAAGCTTGCTCTCAACAAATGTCTCTACACAGAGAAATAAAACAGAACCGCCTTCTGTTATGTCCTCTCCTAATTACAGATTGTGTATCAAAGCAACAAAGCTTTTAATGTAAGTCATTATTCTGAGGCATACAAATAGGTAAAGCTGCATTCCATGTATAAATAAACCCCATAATGTGCCATTCTTCATGTGAAGCTGATAGTAAATGTGTGTTGTCCTCTGACCAAATGTCTTTGTGCGTGTGGTCCTTCAGGCATGTCTGTGCACTTGGTGTCTACCTCTTCAAGCTGTTACCCATGACGAGGTGCAGTCTGTTTTTAAGTCCAGAATGCAGGATCAAGCCTCAGAGCAGAGCTCCAGCCTCAAAGCACACAAGCAGGCTTCCATACCTCTACCTGAGCAGGAGAACAACCTAGCATGTTAACAAAACTCATGTGGAACTGTGAAGATCCTTTGTGAGAGTTCTTTAATATTTATTCATTAAATATATATATATATGGCTATCAAAGCAGCCCTATCGGTAGCTCAGCAATCTTGACATACCGTCCTAGTAATATGAAATACCTTGTGAATAACATGCTGCACTGTCTTTTGTACTGCTGTCGTCAGTTGAACATCTGCTTTGGCATGAGCAACCTGGAGTCAGACTGTTCAGACAATTTGCCCCCAGGGTTTTACTCACTCCCAACCATTACATCAGATTTTACCTCGTACCTATCCTGTATCATGCATCACAGTTCTCAAATCACTGTTTTGGGCACGATGTTAACCTGGCACCCATCAACTGAAATCTTGTCACGGCTTATCGCCTGCCTATATACTATTTTGATTCTGTTTCTGGATTCTGGAAAGATACTGTGCCGTAGGAAATCAAGCAAATGGGAATTCAAATTTTTTTACGGTGGGTTTTATGGGGTACGGTGTATTATTAGCACATAAATGTGTGTTTTCATCTCTGTTAAGTTTCACATACACAGCAGCCTAAGAGTTTACAGCGTTCCTTTCTTTCTTGAACCTTGAGAAACATATCAAATTGGTGCCACAAGTAGATTCTGTCTCCGCCACTGAATGACTGATTGATGGTGGCCTATTTTTAATGCATTGTTAAATGTGTAATGCATGGAGACACTTTATAAAAGACCTGAGAGTGGGGAAGAAGGAAAACGAAGATGACAGAATGAGGTCATGAGGAGAGGGGATGGGAGGGGGGGTGTAGAGATGAGCACCTGATAGGTCTTCCTGTCACAGGACAAGGCAAGCACAAATAGAGCGCTGTTCTTCCAGCTAA